GGTCGCCGCCATCGCTTGCAGCTTGGGCGCCATGAGGTAGAGGTACCCGAGCCACAGCGTCGCGCTCAGCACGACGATGAGCGTCGGGAAAATGCGGCGAACGCGCCGCTCGTAGAAGCTCATGTACGTAAACTTGCCGCGCGCGTGCTCCTTGAAGAGGATGCCGGAAATGAGAAAGCCAGAGATGACGAAGAAGACGTCGACGCCAATGAAGCCGCCGGGAAAGAGCTTCGGGTACGCGTGGAAGACGAGGACGGGGACCACCGCGAGCGTCCGGAGACCGTCAATGTCGGGCCGGTAGACATGGGTGGGCGGGGCCGCATGGACCTTCTCCGTCTCGGCGTCGGGCGCGTGGTCGGAGAGGAGCTGGCCGGTCGCGAGCACGTCGTCGTCGTCGTCGGCGGCGGCGGCGAGCGAGCGGTGATTGACGTGCATCGTCGATCGCAAAGTACCGGTACGTAGCCAGTCAGATGCAAGTGGCGCCACCGTACGTCCGGATACTGCCAGAGGATACAGTGTAACGTCAATGCAGTGGGTTCTGCAAGCAGCGTCTTTTTAGATCGATCTGACCAGGGGTACATCTTATCTTATGTACCCCTGGATCTGGCAACGCGCTGGAGTGTCACGAACTAATACGTTCTGCAAGTGAACGCCTGAAGTTCCTTTGTCGACGACGACGACCGCATCGGGCGCTTGATTCTCTCATGCGACGCATGGTGGCTCCCGCTGTAGTGGTGCCGGAACGTCTGCCTCTTTCCACCGTGAAACACGAACAGATAGCCGCCGGCTCGGTATCGTACGGTACAAATGTACAAATCTGCAATCGACTTTTCATAACACCAGCGTCCGCTCAGACTGTCTTGGAATGGCAACGGTGGGCGTACATCAAGAGCCAGCAACTCAAAACTCAATTCGAGTTGCTGGCCGACATCTCGAGCCACATACGATCATCACACCATTTGTGATGGCAACTGTGACAATCAAACGACGCAGTTGCAGCGTACAAATCCGGATACCACCGGCGGCGTCCGCATAATCTGTCGTATATTCACGGTAAGTGGCCTCCGAAATGACATTCTGTTTCTCATTTCGGACATTTCGTGCGTAATTCGGACAGAACAGGCTTTTTTGCAATACACTGTTTCACGTCAACGGACTATAGTACAGTCAAGTCAATCGATGCGGCTCTTGGATGCTACGTTGGCGAAGCGATTTCATTTCGGATCGATCCGAATGCAACCTCGGCCCGCAAGCTCCAAGTGCCAAGAGGCAAGAGAGGCCAGCGCTTGCATGTCGCCGCTAACAGCATCCTTGTGCTAGCCCACGAGGGCTTGCAGAAGGTGAATGAGCAGTCTCAGACTACAAGACGCCCCTAGAATAATAAAATGCAACGAGCCGGCAACGACCAACGCCAGCCATTTGAAATACATCAACCACCGCACTGACGCCTCGAACGACAACATCCTTGGAAGGTCCGTGCCACCAAAGGCCTTTCTGCAGCGCTTCCTCGCGCGTGCGGGATCCAATGCGGTAAACACGACCTTGCGTTTAATGGGCCTTTAACGCGAAATTACGTGCGACCGCTTCTAGAAGGAATGCGCGGCGCAGCCACATACGCCTACAGTTTCCATTTTCCATTTTCCATCGGCTTGCACATCTCAAAGTATGACGAGTTCGACTAGCACGACGACGACGACGGCCCAGCCCATGGCCTGGAACGTCTCGATCCACCCGCTCAACCAGCTCCTCCACAGCGCCGACCTCGCCATCGTGGCCGCCCAGCTGGCCTCGACGCACTACGACATCGGCGTCGACATTGGCGCCTTGCCGTTCGACGAGTGGGCGAGCTACGTCGCGGCCGAGTTTCAGACGCTGCCGTCCAAGGCCATGTCGTGGCGTGACGGGCACGTGTTCATCACCGAGCTGCCGCTGCCACTGCATACGGCCCTCGTTGCCGCGTGCAACAGCGTCGTCGAAGCGGCGACGGGCACAAGCAACTGGCATCTCAAGCACTATCGCAGTGCGATGGTGGCGTCGCTGAGCCTGCTCATCGAACCCGACTGCAGCTACGGCCCGGACCGTGGCGTCGGCGGGTCGCTTCCGCGCGG